TTTGCTGCCCCCCCCCCCACATGTGGCACGTGTGCGCGCACACACACACACACACACACACACACACACACACACACATGCTCACACACACACACACACACACACTCACACACACACACACACACACTCACACACGCTCACACACGCATGCGCTCTCACACGGGATCTGATATTTCATTCCTTACATATATGTGAGTGATAAAATTTAATGTGTTACCAACCTAAAGGAAATTCTCATTTAAAGTTTTATTGTTCATTTCAGTTGGTGGCCTGGCAGAAATCCATTTCTGTTGCCATAATTTAATCCTTCTTAAGGCACTGTATAAATACCACCTCTAAGATAATAGCCACTGGTCTTATGTGGCCTTTGAGCTCTTAAAATGACTAAATTGAACTGTGATATAAGTGCAAAATATGTACCAGGTTTTGGAAACTTAGTATAAAAAAATTTAATTTATTAATAGATTTATATTATCTAGGCTTGATTATCTCACACCTGTGACTTTGGCATTTGCGATGTGGAGGAAGGACGATCAGAAGCTCAAGGTCATCCTCACTGTGTAGTATCTTCAAGGCCATTCTGGACTTCATGAGACTCAGTCTACCCCCCCCAAATAATAATTTTATATTGATTGCATGCTGAAGTAGGTTTAAGTAGTGTTTGAAAGATAAATATGTACGCTGATTTAAACATTACTAATTTATACATACATATATGAAAATTATCACATAGTAGCCCATTGATATGAATATTTTTGATATTTATGTATTAGTTAAATTTAAAAATAAAATTTTTAAGAAGTTTACATTTTTAACTTTTCCTGTTTACTTTTTAAAATGTGGCTACTAGAAAAATTAAACATACATCATATATCATTACCTGTGATGTGTGGCTCTCAGCTGTATCTTTACTGACTAACACAAGTATACAGTCTAGAGCTGAAGTGTGGTGGGGCATAGTGGCACAGGCCTGCAATCCCAGCTGAGGCAGGATAATCCTAAATTCAAGGGCAGCCTGAGCTATACAAGAAGACTCTCTCTCTCTCTCTCTCTCTCTCTCTCTCTCTCTCTC